TGGCGACGGGGATGCTCAAACTTGGTTCTTGGAGTGCTTCACTAGAACTCTTTCTGGCCTTCTGCTTCGTTGCATTCACATCTTACACTTCTACTCCATCCTATTCCATCGATCGATTTGTCTCCACTCTCCGAAATCGCGCGCTTTAACCCGATTCTCTCATTGCGTCGCCTGGTACGTAGCCGGCCAAACGCCGTCTTCTTTCCATGCCTCGCCTGGCTCTGCCTCCTGGTCCTTCGATGGTCCATAACGTGTAGTTTTTGTACGTTTGTTTCTCTTCAGAAACCGAATCTTCATGCGTGAAACTTTGTGTGCTATTTCCAGTGATCACAACTGACATATTCATGTTAGGAAAGAGTGCAAGAATTTTCCGCGCAAGATTCCTTTAAGCTTAGCGAGTCCTTCAACGGATCGTGATGCATTTTGGCCTCTTCTCTAATGCTGGTCGGCAGGATCCTGCATAATCAGACCCACTCTCCTGAGGAAGTTGTCCACAACAAATTCAAGAAGCGTTGTAGCAGTCAGGCTGAAGTAATTACGGTAGGTCTTCTGGAGCTCGACGGCTATGGCAGATGACCTCACATTCTTAAGACGATGGGGCTAGTGGAAAGGGCTTGCTTCTACGTATACATGGATAGATCATCAGTGTTTTTTCTGAAGGCTTTCATTGGCCATAGCACCCTGCGCGGGATGAGATAAAGCTTGTTGATGTGCCTCATCAGGAAAATGTCCCTGTCTTGGTCGCAATTGTAGTTTCCCTAACTGTCGAAGAGGATTTTCTAGGTATGGCAATTAGTGTCTTTGCTGCTGTGGAAATGAAACGGAGGACGGGAAGCCGATGGCTGTTCTTCAGTATTCTTGTCCTTCCTTGCAGATATTTCGTAACATTTGTTGACAAAACTGCAAAAATTAATTGAAGACGCTTCAACCCCCAATTGACCTCAAACATAGACCGCAGATCTCGCACGATTTATCCCTGCATGTTTCAATCTCGATTCGAAAGACGTCCGAATCCAGTTGTGAATGACCGATTGCTGCCGGTCTTTTGATGCTGAAGACTACATAGATGAAATACCAACATTAATCCCTAAGGAGGGCTTCTACACCACTTTTGCAGGACCGGTTCACATTTCAGGGTCGGGCTTAATAGTTTTTGGCAGTTTTACATCGGAAAAGAAGAAAATTACCATGGCCCGAGAAGGTCTCGATGGTAGACATTAAACTAATTGGAAGTTACACCAGCGTTATGTAACTGAACTGTATCGCGATTCCACAGTTAGCAGTCTCAAATTGTTAGGCTAAGAAGTTGTGCGCCACTTCGAACGTGTTCGGGAAGCTGTCGGCGAGAAAACTCGCACAAACGTAGTTTACAACCAAGGGATCCCTTTATGAGTTATCATTACGTACCAATCATCTTTTGTATGTGATGGTGTGTGTATGTATGTGTGTAAAGGCGGTAGCGAAATCCGTTCGAGTTTTCGCTTTGCTGCGGCAGGCTCGCGCATCGCGGATCAAGCCTGTAGCGACGAGCGGTGAACGGGATTGGTGGTCGTCATCGTTATCCGTGCTCGTTTCGTCGCGTCGCTACCCCTATCCTCCGCGGTTCTTCACTTCACCTTCCGTTGTCTCGCGTTTTGTCTGTCATCTTCGTGTACACTCGCTACTCCACTCTGAAATTGTTTCATAGTGTTTTTATGAGTCTGTAAAAGGAGTGTGACGTATTTCTTCGATGTGTTGCACTATTCCGTTGGAATCAATCACATTTTTTCATGGCGGCCGTTTAGCTCAAGGTCATTCTGGCACCCACTAACATTGATTTAAACCGAGCACACTAGGTAGCCTCTCTAAGAAAAGGATCTTAACGAGTGAACAGTGCAAATGCCAATTGTCTCAAATCCTATAGGCATACCGTAGCGATGTTGAGGATATCAGTCAGCTTCAGAGTCGTTTTTGGGGATGCGGATTTTAACTCAATACCTGTTTTTTGAAGGCAGTGAGTCTGAAATGAAGTGGCCGACGCGGGCATGGCTCGAGAGATAAGAGAACTCAGTTGTGGTTTAGCCAGTAAAGGAAACCAAGAGATTGTGTTCATCTTGGTGTAACGCTGCCCTTCGATATTACTACCGCAGCTGGTCCCACACCCAAATGCTCTCTATCTTTAGGAGAATTCCATTTTGTTATAGAAACTCTAGTACACTGTTTGTGTTTCGTAGTTTGTGCCATTCAATGACGACAGGGGGAACTTATGATAGGTCGATCTTAGGTTTCAACAAAGTTGTCGCCTTCTGAGACCTCAATGCCGGGTTGCAGGGATGCAGGTTACAGAATGATGAATCACCCTTGAGACAAACGAACCCTAGTTCTTTCCATTCAATCGGTGCGTTGGAATAGAGGATTCCCACGAATTACTTGAATGTGATTCTCGACGACTTCGTATGGGGCTAGTCATTTTCCCAAGCTGTTAGATGAGTGATAAGACATTTGAGGAGCTCCATCTTTGCTTAAGACCTAGTATTTTCCCAGAGACCACAGAATCCGCATTTTACGCCTAATTTTTTTGATTACTAATGTTCAGCAATACCTTATACACGTAAGGTATTCTCATAGTAGCTGACCGTATTCTTCTCGAGCAATCGAAGCGATCATAAATACTTGATAGTGTCAATTACAGAGAGTGTTCTTTTACGCACAGAGTCGCAGCCAACGGCAGACCATCTGGAATTTCGCTGGCGGCTGCAATTGACCGTTTGAGCGTTAGCACAGCTCTATTCACTTCATATTTCAAGTCAATTTCCTTAATGAACCACCCTCGCGCAGCGCGATTAGTATTTATTATTTACTCGTTTGCGGAAACTTACTACTGTATCGGTTATTTATTCTGTTCGATTATTTACTATTCACAGAGATGCGATCACGATTACAACTACTGGTGGCGTGTGGAATACTAGGTTGTGCTGTGTGGTATAGTATACTCTCAACGTATGTTTTTTATTATAATGTATATAATTATTTGTTATCTTATTAGTAGTAACAAATGTTTTTGCCGGGACCTCTAGGGTTGATGTTCGAGTTCTATTTTGAGCGCTATGCGCAAGGTAACGGGCAGACTAGACTGTTAGGAGGGGGCGCGAATCCGAGGGTAATTTTGCTACCACCTAGAAATTCTTCTTGAATAATTGCTTAGCTATTTTTACGGTTTAGAGGTGTTCTTAGAAGATTTTCAAAGTTTGAGAGCATTTATTTCATTTTCTACTTATCCCTTATCGTTTAGCGCTTAAGTTGGGGTGTCAGGCTTTGAAGGCTATCTGGTGCGAGTAGTTCGACAAGGAAAGGGTGACTTAAAAGCGTTGCCATAAGACTTCTGTGCGGGGATATTCACGCATTAGGAAAGATTGTCTTTTTGGGACGAGAAATATCATACATTCAAAGAATAGAGATACGATAAGATACGATTATGGTCACTACTGAAACCTGATTCAGGGAGCCAATCGGCGGTGATTGCCGATCTTGGCAAGTTGATCGTCGACAATTGTCCACCTATGCTATGTACAGGATTGGATTGCGCCGTGGTCACAGAACGAAACGGCTGCCAAGTGAGTGTTTGACTTTTCCACAAGATTTGAGAAGCTTTGTTTTTATTCTAAAGTGTAGTGTGTGGTGAAGCTTTGTGGGATGCGCCACGCATTCTTCTGTCATCCAGAATTTCAAGTCATTTGAATGCCGTTGGCGCCTTTGCAATAACTACCAGTGACCAGCTAACAACTAGCTAACCAACTTGCTCTTCGCAAACTAGTTTGGTATCAACTAACGCGACTTAGCTGGTCATGGAGGAATCCTTCTCTCCAGACATGGCCCGTATGACGGGGCTCCGTCGCCATTGCACTATACCACCGCTTTTTGACTTAGCTAAAGGAAAATTCCGGCCAGTGGAACGTTCCGGCCAACAAATTTTATCTCTTTATGGTACAATTTGAGTTCAGGCGTGCAAAATAAGCAATTTAAAGAACCTTTAAAAGTATACCTTCAACTTTTCGATCAACATTAGATGTGTAAGATTTTATTATGAAGTTCTTCCCACCAAAGGCGTCAAAGAGTTTTTTGGTAATCAAATCGAGTTCCCGGTCGCACTTTGCACTTCCACTGTCTTCATTGTCTTGATGGATACCGCGTGGTTTTTTAATGACTTCATAGCGAAATCCGCTACACACACATTAACGGATCCAGAAAGGGAAACTATGGTATTCAATCTTCCTTTTCCCTCTTACGGAGAAATTAATTTTTTGCAAAAACTTCCTTTTTCTTTCTCGATAAGATATTTATTAACACATTCACGACGACGCCCCTTTTCCACTTTTCGGTCGCGTGGGACGGACGCGATTTTGTGGGCGCCGCCGCCTCACCACATAACCGCAGATTTTGTTTTGTAAATGAACAAAAACATGAATGTCACAAAATAATTTCTGCAATGTCCAATGCGTAAAGATTATCTAAACATATAACAGTAGGATTTCGATCAGAACGACAAATAGTGGTTACGAAAAGAGAGCATTTATTCACTTTCCCCGTGAAGGAATTTAAAAGCATTTTACACTCGATTACGAGGTTTGCCCACCTATCTGTCCATTCCTAGCGCCTGGCAAGCGATTATCAGTTGGCAGCCCATATGGGCTGCCATCGTCCCAGGAGCGCATGTTGTTGGCAGCCCATATGGGCGGCCATCGGCGTGAATGTGTTAAGCTAGGAGCAGACAGTGAAAAGGTCAGGAACAGTGATGTGGCACTCATTCAACCGTCGTGACCGCATGCAAAATTGGGTGAGGCCTTCTCTCCTCCCTACCCCCATCCCCACCCTCTCTTCCACTCTACAAAGTTGGCAACACTTAGTCGGCCATAAAAGGATTTCAGGTCCGACTTGCATTGTAAGACGCGATCCGCCGATCATAACTGTTCAGTGCCTCTTGTCACTTCTTACTTCTACCAAAAAGGGTAAAACATTGTCAGGATTTGAGAAGACTTCAAGTCATACAAATCCACATCCGCAGTCATCTTATGGACGTCAAACGATTCTATAGGAACTCACTCACACACAATCACTTCTGCCTGGACATTCGTTTATTTTCCTTGAACGCCAAAGTGGCCAGCCTGTAATAGGCTACACGTTCTGCCCATATTGATACCGTGTGGCTGTCCGGGTACCAATTCTCCTCAGGTATGACGCTCACATCCCTACAATATCCGATCACATAACATTTACTCCCCCTGCACAATGTGATAATGATTAGCAGACCATTAATGTATGTGCGCTACATGTTCGTTACCCCTTTGGCAACATTGCGGATCTGCACAGCCTTGCTCATGAGACCACGCCTCTTTTTGGAGTGCCTAACTCTCGCTCACAATTGGGCAAAGTTGTCCCTCAAAGTTTTTCTGTGGCATTTTTGACTTTCAGCCGTATACGCAATATACTACATTCTAGCTTTCAATACTGTACAGTTAATCCGAGATTCGTTAATTGCTCAAGAGAATTTCCGATACACTTCAAACCTTTTCCACTACCTGAGGGCAACGGGAAGACGAAGAAACAATTATCAATCTTCAGGCTAATAATGCAAAACCCCAATTAATATGCTGGCGAGCTAAATGGCACATTCTAAAATTCTATATAAATTAGCTCTTAATAAACATTTCTGTAAGCCGTGCTAGTCATAGATATTATGGAACTTGCTTATAATTATTGGGGTGTTACAAATGTTTTAAATGCACAAAGAAGGAAATTTTAAGGTGGCACCCACCATTGGGTGCCATTGTCCCACGCGGCGAACATAGTGGCACCCACCGGTGGGTGCCATTGTCGTCAAAGGGTTAATTCTGAGTACCGTACTGGTTCAATACTGTAGCGCTGCCCCACCTTCACTTTGAATTTTGACGAAAACGAATACCTTCCATATTATCATTTGGAGCTCTATTCACAATAAGACACAGTTTTCCGTTGTGTTTCCGCCTCTATTAAATTTAGCACTTCTCTCCGCAAGACGCTGAACTCTTTAACCTTCAGCACGTTGCCGTTTCTAGGAGTCACTATGGTTAGGAATGCTTTGGGACCTATTTCGTTTTATAGCAGTCCAAACGATTCAAGGCTCAATTGCACATCGGGGTTTTCGACTATGTCCATGGGTTTGGCTCATCGAAAATACACCTCAAAAGCTTCAGTGTAGGTGGATTGCGCCTATTTTCAGCCGAATGTCTTAAAACTGGAGCATTAGTTACCTTTTTGATTCTGTGAGAGATTTTTATGGATAGTTATTGTACGACAGTAACCTAAAGAGAAAGTTGGTAACGCAGAAACGCCGAAGGTTGATATCCGTGATGCGGAAGTTTTACAAACAAACAATAAGATTAGGGGAGACACCTCGTACAAACACCCTGTCCAACGCGAAGAAACTCGTCCACATTGTCGTCTCGTTCGTAATGGTAACGACTCATTTCTCCTTCGAGCACTTCTCTTTCAATCTTATCGCTTTCTCTTCAATACTTCTCTCTTGTTTGCCCAGATCCCGAGATGTTACCTCCAATCCAACCTCTGCTTTCATAATGTGGAAACAGCTTGTTGCTTTGCTAGCTGCTTGCCTTAGCACAGAAATCTTTGACATATTGTTATAACAAACTGAAACATTCAATGGAAAGCTTAAGCCTCCAAATTTCACGGGGAACCGGCCAAGAGTTCTTGCTCGGATTTTTGTGAACGTACTGGTGACAATACCAGTACCTGTTGGGCACAATAGCGGGTGTGAAAGCGCCTGATCAAGGGCTTGTACCCCATTATTACTGCTGTAGGAGGAATAAACCCTATGATTAAAGGCTATACAACACCACATACAGAGAGGGCTGACAGGAATAAGGGCGTTTTAGGATTAAAGGCTATACAACACCACATACAAGAGGGATGACAAGGGAAAAGGGCGGGGGGGGGGGGCGGAAGGGGGAACATTCAGCATCAAGCTGTGGCCTGCATCAAGTGCCTACTTTCTTCAGAATGGCTTGCGAGGACGGATGTTAGGTCAATCCTTTAGTTAGTCTCGTCTGGAGGCACGTGAGAAAAGAATCTCGGTTCTCACTCCCCAATATTTGCATTGACGAGGTCCAATTTTTGTGTTGTTTTTTTTTCAATGTACCTAATCTCTTCAACATAAATAAGTGACTATTTTCTTGATTTCCCAACGAGCCACAGTAACCCATATATACAGGGGGGCCAAAAAAAAAGACATTTTGCCTCCACTTCCAGATGGATTTAAGCACATTTTACTCAACTCAGACCGAACGGTTCCAACTTATTATTAAAGAGTGCATTCCATTCTATAAGAAAATCTTCATAGTGGCCACGTACGTGGACGGCATCAGAAGAATTAGCCCTGGAAACATGGTGCACTGGTCGATCTCAATGGGGTCTTCGAAGGATCGTGTACCATAACGACCCTTACTGGAAAGCTAGTTCCGAGGGGATTTGCACAGTGGTAGCTAATGCCTCTAGAAAACTATCCAACATTAAATCGATTCACGAAATTGCGTAAGAGCTTCAGGCTGAAGCTCTTACGGTAGACCTCCTTGAGCCTGACGACGGTGACAGATGACGTCATATTCTGAAGACGGTGAGGGCAGTGAAGGAGAGCCTGCGTACACTAATAGAGGAACACTTAGGGAATACTCTGCTGAGGAACTCCCGTCAACGACAGCAATCTCTGCGAAGAAAAAAGAGCCGAAGTCCGACATAGGCAAAATGTCTTTTTTTTGCCCCCCCTGTATATCTTTCCGCTCTTGCAAACACCAAAAATGTCGTCAGTCCTGATCTACAGAATGAAGTCACTGAGCTGGACAGCGGTTGTGTCCACATCATTCCATGGGCCAGTGTTTGGAAGCTTTTTGCTCATAAACTTGAAGCTTTTTCAAAAATAATACCTAGGAGATTTTTAAATCACTCAACGAGCCTATTATAGATTGTACCTCACAGTGTTTTCGGTACAGAACCCTGCGGCAGGTATACTGTGTTAATGTGAACAAGAGCTAGATAGAGCGAATCCTGTGAGCTATGATCACTATTGGTGCTTCGTCCAACACCGCACACTTTTTCCCACGAAAGATTTTCTCACGATAAATTAAAGGCTTCATAAAAGACCTTTTCGCTTCACTTCTCCCTTCTTGAAGCCAGTTTTCGATGCGAACAATTTAGGTCAACGTCCTTGAACGAACAAATGTGAGATGCGGATAAAAAGTCGTTTTCCTTTCATCTCGCCCTTTTCGATTCTTAACGACTTGATTTCAGCTCTGTGCATGTCCAATTGGATCACCAGCCAGAGGATGCGATCCGATGCCGTTCATACTTTGGCACGATTTGATCGTTAACGGTTGTCCCAATGTCACGCTCAACAGCCGCGATCCTGCACAGAAAGTACACCGTTGGTTCAGACGGGTGAGTATTCGTGTTGCAATTCTTGAAGCATGTAACTGAGGTTTCATAACGAAATCAAAAAGGTGCTTTTGACGGGATGTGCCATGTGTTCCGCTCTATTTCGGCTTCGTAGAGGTAGAAGATCTTATGGGGAACGGGACAGGTAGCAAACAACAATGGTCCTAGTCTTTTACCTCGCCAATAATTCTGACAGCAGTCAATTCAAGACCAAAAGGTAGAGCGTGTGAATGTAGGCTGGATTCAATGCTAGGAAACGGGCACTTGGCGGTGGCGCCTCTAGGTAGTACCACCTCTTCATTTTTGTTGCACTGAATCAAACAAAACTACCGTGATTCACCGCAGCTAAGCGATAATCCCCAGCTGGAAAGTCTTTTGTATTCTTGGCAATAGTGCCACTCAATCGCGTTCAGCGTGAAGCATTTGAGCAATCCCTGCTGTCAACATCTCCACCTTTTCCTCGTCTACAGGTACAGGTGGCTCTAACTTCCTCAAAATGCTGTGAGCATTAGAGCCTTCTTGAAATTTTGTCTACTTTCTAGCCCAAATCGGTTTCTTCTTTCGCAGAAGGTTTTTGTAAACTTGAAACTTATCACTACGTTGTTCATAATTTTGCTACGCACTGTACAGATAGCGTGTTGCGACGGCGGCATTCACCCATCTATCAGTAGTCACCATAAAAATACTGTAGTTTGTAATTTATTATGGTCTCTGGGAAGTTCGTTTCCACTGTTTACCAGCTTAGTTGAACTTGTGGTATAGTAGCAGTTTCGAAATTGGGTTTAAATGTCAGCTTTCTAGAAGTAAGCCTTCAAAGATAGTGTGGTCCCTTGAGCAAGCATATCCCATTTGTTTAACCCTTCATAGGTCACCTTCCGTGGCGTGTTTCCGACGGTGGTCGGAAACACGCCACGGAAGTGGATGATGCTTGGAGCAAACCCTTCCAAACACGTCATAGCTTTCTACGCAGCGTAAATTTCACCACTGAATAATTTTTCATACTCAAAACAAACGTAATTACAAAGAGCAAAATTTCCCAGCTCAGCAAGATCCCATGATCTCGCCACTGTAAGTCGCCAACACTACCTCTCGGCCAAGCCGTTGTCGGCAGTTTGCTCTGCCGGAGTCTCTTACAGTGGGCTTTCATTTGAAACAACCTCCGTAACTCTTTTCAGAGAATCGTTTCGCAAATTTGGAGAGTGGATTTCGAGATCAGCGTCCGAAAACATCTCTGAGTATAGGTTTCATTACGGATGGCCACTTCGACTTGGTATCCTTCCCTTGTAGTTGTCCTATTAGAGTTACTCTCCATTGCAACCACTAGAATGGGACAGAGCCGTAAGATTCAGCAATTTTCATGAGTTGGGATGGGATCCTCTGCAGAAACTCGCCCGGATTTTCAAATCATTGATAAACTTTTTCTTGTACACCTGAATAATCAAAAAGTTTCAAAACGAGTGTATTGCGATGGAAAGGTGCAATATATGATGCATTTTATAGTCAATCGCTTCACAAACACTGATCAATGTGAGCCGTACATCTTCCCTTACTGCCCAGAACTCGATTTCAACCTCTGGAGATCACCTCGTACAAAGCAGGTGAGAAATTTAATAGCAACACAATCGATTGTGATATTTCATGGAAAATGATCAATTTCAATTTGGAGAGCATTTTTCGGGTCACACAATTATAGTTTTGTCTTTGCCATGTATTTCTGGCGCGGAGTATCGACTAAGAACACGGCGAACGTTCCGCATGAACTCTTTCAAGGCTATCAGCGAAAAATCAACCATTCACTTTGCGGTGTTACAACGACGAAAAGCGTGAACGTAGAAGTGGTGGATGGTTTTCTGGGAAGACTCCCGATCGCGCTCCTTTTCACCTGTTTCGATACATTATGTAAGGTTCGAGAAAATGTGTGACCGAGGGAATTCCATTTGTTCTCTTCTGCCAGCCTGAGCAGTATAGGAAGAGGAAGGCTCTTGTAATACTGCCGATCCTGTTCATTCAGTGGTATGAAGTGCTAGTTTGTTAATGTGGGCACTCACTTTGAACAGGGTTTTCCCACAGATCCGCTTCCTCGCGCCGTTTTTCAAACGCCTCTTTGTCCTTCTATTATTCAGCAATGTGGTTCTATGAGCAGATGAGATTTGGTGAAACGTCCCACGGGAAGAGATTTCCGAGCTATAGCATCAAGTTGACGTTGTCCCTTCATAGGGAAGAATATTTCATGAGATAAGCAACAGCGCAGGTGTTATGAAACCCTAGGGAGAAACGAGAGCTTACGTCAAAATGGATTAAGTAAGGAGCCAGTCGCCCAACAAGGAGTGTTCACTCATTCTCACTCCCTTTATCCTTGTCTTTCTCATCGGGGTTCTATGTTAGCGCTAATACACGAAGACTACGCACACGCGTTTATACGATCATTTCCTGGCAGTACCATTGCCGTGACGATCCTACCTTAGTATTTGAACTCATGCCGTCGAGTATAAACTGTAATTACCCTCATTTCTGGTAGATAAGCCGCAATAGCAAAACCCTCCGTGGTGCAAGCAGCTTGCTATAGTCTGGAGACATGGTATAACACATGGGGTATTCGATATTGCTGATTACGAAACGCACTTCGTTTTAGGGTGGCGTCTTGGCGCCAATTGCGCATCTTGTACGAACTTTGTTCATCAAAAGACCTTTTGTTTCAGCGACATATTTCTCGGCTGGAGAGCGTAGACGAGCTGAAAATAGGCGCCAAATGGCGCTAGCGCCGAGAATGAATGTCATATTCTAATCAGGACACCAAATACCGCAAGTTGAAGAACAGGTGTCGTGACAAGGTGACGCCAACTGGCGCCAGATGGCGCCACCGCTAAAAATGAAAGTCATTTTCGTAATCAGGGCATCGACTTACCTCTATAGGCAAATTTGCGGTGGTTTCTAAGGTGTACAAAGTTACACTGCACGAGCGGGGGTGTTTTACGTGAAATCGGCGCGGGCTTATCTACCGTCAAAAAAGCAGATACAAAATTTATTTCTTTAGCAATTCAAAATCTGTTTGTTTTTTGTTCCTAAATTTTTCATTTTTTAGGAATGTGAACTCTATTGCTACTCGGTGGATGAGCAGAGAAAACGTGGTATTATTTAAAGTAATAGTTCTGTACAATATCTAGCATTTTACTCAATTTTCTTGTTGTGTGTAATCTATGTTTGCTAATAAAATTACCGTTATGAAATGTCCCTCGTTTCGAATGCCAAGAATAAAACATTGTGTTCCTACGTCAGATCTCATTTCTGCTTTTATAATTCCCTTAGGAGGCGAAACTAAAGAATCAAAAGTTGTAAAACCACACTCACTTTCGACCGTCGGTCACTAAGGCGTTTTTATCAAAAAGCCTTTGTGCCAACTTTCTTACTAGCCTTCTATGACCAGCTCTTCACGAGTCGCGAAAGGGAAACGTTTACGTGGTAAAGGCAGGGGAAAGGATAAGTTTAGGTGGAGCAATTCATGCTCGAAGGCACATTGGCCCTTCATACTGGAACGGTTGAACCAATCCATCTCACGAAGAAAGTTACTGGGTCTGCTTTCGCGACATGCGGTGCCTTCTCAAGTGCTTTTCCTCTCGGTGTCTCCTAGCAAAGCCTATATGGAACATTTAGCGGTTTTTTCCTCGCTTTTCTTCAAAGTCAAGTTGATTGACGCCTACCGTTTTACATGTGGCCCCACTTACTGTGTTTGGATATAGTAGAACGCTTTTAGATATTCATTTTTGTCATACTGGAAACAAACGTGTTCACTTTGGGAGGTGACAACCACAGTAATATTTATTAAAGGCAGCGATTACGATAAATTCAAGAAGGGTTTAGTGTGACGTGGTGGTGCTCAATGGTACGCCAGTGGCGAAAAAAGCAGAAAAATCCGTCAAGAAAACGCAAAACGGGACCCCCTTTTTTGGCCGTTGGTTTTCACTCATGAACAGGTAACAGCTCAGAAAGTGGACGTATGAACGAGTTCACCGCAACGCGTTTGATGGCACCATGCCAAACGCTTTAATCGAGATGCTCCATTTGCGCCGCTGCTGGCCACGCAGCTCGTCCAAATCAACAAGTAAACTAGTGGGCGGATCGCTTTTGGGGCGGAGCGCTTTCGAAGTCCTGCTCAGCAACCAGCGCACCTTTCGTTAGGCAACCAAGTAACTGATTCGTGTGATGCACATGCTTCCCCGATGCGCTCCCTCCTTATCGTAATCGTTTCCTTCAAACAAAAATTGACTTGGGTGAAATCGCCAGAATGGTGTGCGCCGAATGTGTTTCAGAGGTGGAAGTTCCATTATGGTTGAATTGTATTTTTTTCCGGAACACTTTTCTGCGATTTGCAGTTGGAAGCACTGAAATGTTCTCGTTGATTCGCAGTCACGGTGGGCACGACATGGTTGAGGGTTTTTGGGGTCTTTTCTCACTGCACAAAGAATATTGCATTTCTTGCACGCTTGCAGATCTTAATCATTCGATCGCTGTTGCCGTCCATTTCCGATTTCATGCAAAATTAGACAGCCCAGCGCGCGCTCGGTGACGGTCACACGAGGGGTAAACCCGTTTCGCTGTTATATTGATACAATCTACGGGTGCAAATAGTAGGTTGAAAAGATGTCAAGTCTGTCGTATACACCTCAACCATGCATCTCACAGCTAAAAAGTGACATGGAATTGCACCACAGAAAGTGCATATTACTACTACTTTTATCGCTTTAAAACAGGAAAGCTATGTTGCGACCATATAAAAATACGCTTCTGTCGACGAATATTGGAGGAGGCAAAACAGAGTTTCGCCGAAGTGTCTACAATAGATTGATGAGGGGAGAGAGGGTTCAGAACAGCTTTCTTATCTACTCTGGCCCCGTGCAGCCAAAGAATAGGATACGAAAACGTCTCAAAAAGGAGCAAAACGGGGAGAAGATAAGTGGGAAAGGAATTTCCCTAAATTGAAGGGCACCTTTTTCTTGTGCACGCGTTCAGGGATTCTCCAAATTCCTGAGAATAATCTCAACAGATTGTTCATCATATCAGGGTGCCGAGAAACACAAGGGTAGCGCTGAATACACAGTTAGCAGTTTGGAGGTCCTGTATTTTAGGATTATGGTAGGCTTTTTTACTTTCTTTCCTGCTGTCGCGTTCACTCTCATTCGATTCATGTTTTGTCAGTGATCATATAAATGAACCGTTGTAAGCGCATCTTGGGTATCGGTTGTCATTCTTTATTTGAATTCGAACTGTAAACAATACCAGAACAACTTCATTCTTTATCAAGTTTAAGCAGTTTAATTTTATACCGGACAAGACAACTTGCATTATTCGGATGAGTTGTTAACTTTGATTCGTAGATCTTGTGAGCACGAGGAGCAGAGAAAAAATCAGAGACCCCAGAGGACATGGAATACGAAGCGAAGCAATCAGGTAATACAAACATTAATTCTGAAGCGACCGTGAACGCGATGGCGGTGGGAGTGGTGAGAAATTTAATGGTTCGAATTGGTGGAGAGGTGTTAACCCGTGGCACGTGAGATGGCATTGGATGTGGATTAGATGTGGACGGATCAGCCCTTTACGCAGTGAGGGCTTTAATCCACCAATGACGTCCGATGACGTCATCATTTTCAAATCGCTCCAACCATCGTGTTCAATGCCTTTAGGTCTTACATGGAGGTCGGTTCAGAAGTCCCAAGCTTTTTTAAAAAATTGTTTCTTGCATGACATTGGGGCACATATGGGGAACACAAGAAGCATGGTTCATTTTTCCTGAACGGCCCTCTGAATACCAGAAAAGGGGTCCCTAGTTCGATTCCTCGTGGTGACAAATTTTTGCATTTCGAGTTGACGTTTCAAAATTCGCGCAAAATGGAGTTAGCATGAATAATTAGTACCATATTCATGATTAGGAACGTCAGTAACCCTTACAAATAGACTTTGATTGAAAAACTGGTGAAAAAGGTGTGACTAGGGACCCCCTTTTCTGGTATTCAGAGGGCCGTTCAGGAAAAATTAACCATGGTTTTGTGGTTCCGCATGTGCCCCTATATTATGCAAAAGACTGTTTGAAAAGCTTGGACACCCTTGAACGCCTTCCTTGTTCTGCCTTGCCTAAACTTTCAACGGCGACAGGCAAAACATTGTGTAAGGGCGCTCTGTTCCCTTGTGCCAAGGTTTAAAAGCAGAATTTACGATGAAACGTTAGCTCATTGGGAATAAGGGTAGTGGTGGTCAGTGGAGCAGGAATGATGAAGAAAACATTTGAAACGGCTCTGGACCCAAAAAATGGGACCCGTTCCTTGTCCGTTGATTTGCGCATTGATCGCATGTAAAATCTCATCGCTGTGCCCTCGTGGCAACTACGTCTTGGCGTGCGATTGATCACTCGCAGTATAGGTACAGATTGGCGGCGACCACACCCGCAGTGAATTATGATATCGGTGGGCGTAAACAGCAAATCAGCGCCAAGAGTGCGCCATGCTAGATCTGCGAAGTCAAATCTTCGCTGTGAATTGCTCGTCGGTCAGCACCCTCAGGTGGTCCGCCTGTCCCCCAATTATGCAATTTCCCCTTCTTTGACCTTCGTTCTGATCCTGAATTCCTCTTTTACTCTCCGTTTTTTTATTGATAAAATCGTTCCTTTGAACCTTGCTCCGAATTAGACGGGATGGAAAACGTTCGTTTCCCTCCTTATAACAGGCCAAGTGCATCACGAAACGCGTTTATGCCAGGTATTCCAGTTTGGCATATTACTGTTGTGTTACGGTTTGCCTCTCATATGCAAATTCAAACTTCGATCACGGTGATGGAAGGCACTCAGGCAGGAGTGCACTTTTCTGCTTGGATGCGTTCTCTTCAGCGCCATTTTCTCACCGGCATATAGTTAAGTACGCCTGTCTTCTTGAGATGATGTAGAGGCAGGCCTTCGTATTACATGGTTTAAGATGCTAAGAGAATCAGCATGTTTCTACAGAATCTCAAAACAAGATTCTCCTCGGGCTGTCGGGAACATTTTCTTTCACACACTCACACCAACGTTCCCATCGCGAACGAGTAGACCTGATCAGGCAGTCTGTGTATTTATTAATAGGCAGTTTCGATATATATGTGGAATCCTTGGGACAGTGCGCGCCTTAATCCGCGATAATAGAGATGGATTATTAGGCAATTCAGCATCACCAACTGGTTTGTTGAAGCCCTTTCAAGCGTGGTTCGAGAGGTACATGTGGAGTGCTAGAAAAGCTGCTGATGGGATTGCCTTAGGTGAGGAATTCATCAGTACCGGGCATACAAACAAGAAACAAGTAGAATTCAGGGAAGAGGATTTCCCAAGTCTGGGCAGAAACGCTTGGCCGAGGCGGTTAAGCGGTTTTTTGCAGGGAAGGGAGCGATTGGGTTGCCGATTAGATCCTAGTGGAATTCTCTCCTGAGTTAAGTGGCAGGAGCTTTAATCACAAGAGCGGCAGAGTTAAATTTAAAGTGCACAATAAGAGAGCTAGCCGCGCCGCTCGCCGGTGCCACGCTTAATCTAATCGCGGCATTAAATAGCGTCCACATCCTCTCGCATGACGCGCTCTCTTTCATTTCCCAGCACTGCTCAACTCGAAATAGCATTGGAATATTTGCCTGATCTATATCTTGACTTGGACAAGCCCCAGTTCAAGTAACATCTCACTTTCGTACCAGAATTTTTTGGGAAGAATGGGGGTGCTATGATGTATAGAAGCCAATCTGAGAAATTAATGTGTGGACGATTGAAGGCATAGGTGTAAAGTAGAACAATAGTGAAGAAAAAACAATTTATTGCACAATGCAACACAACACATAAAGTATTACTCAAATAAGTAACAGTGTGTCCTAAAAACGTTGTACTGTGAAGGAGTGAAGTACGGATTTCGCCAATTGTTCTTCTACTGGGTTGTCGGGCCGTTGGCTTCTTTCGAAGCATCTTCTCCCCATAAGCACAGTCAACAATTACCCAACATAGGCTTAACCATTATCGTCAACATGTTGCCTTTCAACAAGGAAATTGTGGATGCAGTTTGTTTGAAAATGCTGAGATTTGAGGAGAAAAACACAAGGGAGCTTTTCTCGAACTGATCTCGATCATCAAACTCTCCC